ATGTTTGCGCCACGTATAATTTCGAATAAAATAATGTCTCACTCATACTCAAGAACAAAGTCATTCGTGCGTTTGAGCTTACACTTGCCGCAGACGCATCCTAGAACAATGTCGTTGAGGTAGGCCTGCTTTCATAGAAGAATGCGACCAGTGCCGCACCAGTGAGCGTTGCCAAAAGTCGGTCTGAAGTATCGCTTCTATCGGACAGGCATAGTAAATCTGGGTTAATTTGCCTCTGCTGTTCAAGCTCTGATGGTCGCGGACGATGGTGACACAACAACGATAGCAAATAGGCATCACTAATCTTCGTTTCACTCAGCATCTCACTTAAATCCAGTAGATGATCATTTCGCGCCTTAGTGTCAAGTGAGAATATGAATCAAAGCATCGACAACACCTCAAATCAGTATGTAACAAGGTGGATGTGATATCAGCCTGAAACTGATCCTAGTTTTCTTCAAATAAATAAATTAGCACACAACGATTGATTGGTTATACTTTTAGTTTTGAAACCGCTGGTTGTTGAGACATATATAACCTACCACAGGTGAAGTATTCAAGAGAATGCAAATTTGGAAATGACACTGATTACGTGAAGAGAAAGGCGTAAGAATACAAGTGGAAAGAGAGATCAGGAAGAAATATAGCTAATAAAGATGGAAATAATAGATAGACATGTGCAGAATGACTGAGAGACATAAACAGAGAAAACAAAGTGATACATGTATCAAGCGTCTTATGTATCTTTCTGAAGACGCTATCAGATCGCCTATGTCACGTATGATGAAAAGATGATCCACTGGACAGCATAAGTGGTAGAATCTAGTGGTACATCAGTTAGAGAAGATACGAATAAGATACATAAGTTTAAATTAACTTCAAGAATTAACAGAAACTTACACTCGATCGATCATCATGATTTCATGCATCAGTTAACACATCGTCAATGTATACCCCCAAAGAAAACTGTAACAGCTTCCATATCATCGTCTTTTGACTGTATGGCAACCGAACGAAGAGAATCGCCACTGTTATAAAATTAACAGAAGTTTCCTCATCACGGATACTTTTTCTTCTGCTCTTTCACAGTGTGCTCCCTTTAACAGGGGTCCGCTATTTTCTGTTTGCATAATACATGAATGAAAAATCTGTTGCTTAGACACAGCAGATTATATTTGTAACATAACAGTAAAGGAATTAAACAAATACATGAAGAGTGAAATTACTCTAAAATGAAATAGTTAATAAACGGTAATAAGTAATTACAAATAAAAAGCAATACAATAATCAGAACACCGACATGGCCGGTTCCAAGCCCGGATGAGAAAGGAGGAGGGTTGGAGACCGTGGCAAGTCTCCGTAAAATTCA